ACTGCCGCAGCTGCCTCTATGATGGCTGTTGCTGCTGCTACTGACATTGTTGATGCTACTATTACTATTATTTCGTCACCACCACCACCACCACCACCATCATCATCATCATCATCATCATCATCATCATCATCATCATCATCATCATCATCATTATCTCACCATCATCATCATCATCATCATCATCATCATCATCATCATCATCATCATCATCATCATAAGTAGCAGGAAATAAAAAAGGGGTTGAGACTTTGTATATTTTTCAAATTTAATACAGGTTCAACGTTTCGCCCTGTAAATGTCTTCGTCAGGCACACGATACAAAATATAATGTAAGATCTAATGACTACAATACAATGGCTACTATTACTACTATTTCATCATCATCATCATCATCATCATCATCATCATCATCATCATCATCATCATCATCATCATCACCACCCCTACCACCACCACCACCATCATCATCATCATCATCATCATCATCATCATCATCATCATCATCATCATCATCATCATCACCAGCTCCAGCACCATCATCATCATCATCCTCCTCCCAACACTCACCCATATTCCTTCGTTGGCCGACGAGGGCACAGCTCTCCTTCCTTTGGTCATCTCAAGAACTGTCGAGTTTCTTCCCACGAAAAGCAGGAAACAAAAAACTGTTCCAACAATGTCTCGTTATGTTGAACACAGTCGAGTAGAAGGAACAGAATTACTGTTTGTACTGCCGAATCGAAAACACAGCAACCAGTGAGTGAGTGAGTGAGTGAGTGAGTCAGTGAGGGGCTGTCGTTGCTTATTTTATTTCTTCCTCACAGCTAGCACCGTAATCGTAGATCCCTTACTGAGTGGGTATATTTTTTCTGATCCGTTGTAAACGCTTCAACTCGACCCGATCGAAGACCGAATCACAGTTGACCTGCAAGAAACACCAATAGATTATAATAGATCTATATTCACAAAAAGTTCACCACATTAATAAACAGTCTTCTCACATTGGCCCCACAAATCCACTTGTGTACATAGACGCAACATTAAACAGTCTCTCAAAGGGGGTCATTCAAGAAAAAAGCATTCATATTCAGGAGCCCGGACTCAATTCTCAACGGCCGGTATTAATTCTTTTGTCGGAGACACAATCCATCCCCGTCCGTCTGATAAAACAGGCTATTGTAGCGGTGTGAAGTGAGTGAGGGGTTATCTGACTTAGAGCTGGGCGAAGGATCGACTCCGGAACTGAGTCCCACGATTAATGCTACGGAAGACAAGTTCCGACTCCTTTTTACCTATACCAACGGTTAAAAGTTACTTTAATAATTAAAATCTCCTTCTTTAAAAAAATATATATTTGAACAATAAAAGTTGATGCTTCGTGTTGTTTCGAAATCAAGATTATCCTAAATCCTGAAGATGTTAGGAGCCAACCAGGTAACCACCAGAAGAAATCACATCATTAGAAAGTACGTAATTGGGTTTGGAGTCGAGTCCTACGATTCCTAGCTTTCAATAATCGGGAAGCTAGCCGGCCAGCAGTATTATTATCTGTGAGTGACAGGCGGCCTCGCGCGTAGATCTACGACAGAGGAGTGGGGCTATAGACCGCTCGCCATATCGGTGGACACTCCAAGTCCAAGACTCCGAGGTGTCAGCGAAACCCAAAGATTTATACTAAAAATATCCTAGATAGGAAACTCTGACGTCATTCCGGTACACCATAGAGCACATCGTTTGACTGAACTCAATGTTTGTTGTTTGTTTAGTATAGGGTTTTACGGCGCTCGCAACTGCATAAGGTCATATGAGCGCGCGGGACACACCTAATACTTTTTCGTTGGTAGGAAATTTTGAATTTTGCCCGGGTGGCGGCCGAAGCCTACTCTTATCGATTTTAGACCACCAAGGGATCTTTAACGTGCACACTTTGCACACGGGCCCTCCGAGATTTTTCGCCCTTGTCCGAGAAGGCTAAGTGTAGATCTTTCCTACCAGAAGATCAGGGGTGTGGCAGACAGACAGCAGTTAGGAGGAGCCAAGGAGTAGCAGTAGAAAGGCTGCAGAAAGAGTCAGGAGCCCAGAGGAGGGAGCAAAGGAGGTGAGGGGGAGGGGGCAGAAAGTGGAAATGAAAGCAGACAATAGAACATTGCTAGAGAGCAGGAAAGGAGGTGAAAGGAGACAATTTTACAGAAGAAAATTTTTTTGTCGCTACCCGGAATCGAACCCGGGACCTTTGAATGAGAGGCCAACACCTTAACCTCTAGGCCACGAGAGCCCCTTACTCAATGTTTTTGGAAGAAATAATTAATGAAGGGCAAATAGCGGAAAGGTTAAGCTTGCACTCGACTATCATAGTGAGGCTATAGTGCGCTCAAAAATTGGTTGCGCAACTTATCATCAATAAATATCTTTATAACGGGTGAATCAATGTCACCCATACTTTGCACAGCAGTTTGTCTCAATTTGTTTTAACTTAATCATATTTTTCCACAACAGTTGAGGCTAGATTAAAGAACTTTTCTCTTTAAATTTATATGAATTACTACAAATCTCCTTCTCACAGAAAATGGAATTGTTCACAGCACTTTTCGCTTCTAACACACATTTTGTATACGCATATGGCCTACGTCACAGCCCACCAATGATACTTTTTAGTGATAAAACCTGTTGCAAGAAATGAATCTTATAGTGAACACATTTTGTTCTAAAAGTTCACAAAACATGAGTTCAATAAAGATAATCTCGTGATTACCCAAATTTATTATTTTTTAAAATGATGGAATTGCTTTTAAAAGCGATGACGTTCCGATTGTAAACCTTTTTGAAATAAAGAGCTAACAGGTCTGACAAAAATATTGATCTGTTAAGACAAATTGATGCAAGTGTCTGTGCAAAAAAAGGAAAGTTTATGTTGGAGGAGATATTTGATAGTAAGTTGCTCCACGACTTTTTGACCGCACTATAATAGTGTTGTGCCCTTTATTTGCACACCCATAGTGCGCTCCAGCCTAGCGAAGTTTCCAGCTCGGTCCGACGTTGTGTCCTTAGGAAAGGCACTTAAACGAATTTCCCACTTGACTCGGTCCTATCGGAGACGGACGTTTAACTAGGAGGTCCAGCCCCTTAAATAACCTAATAGTGTTGATAGGGGCGTTAAACCCATACCATTTCACCATTTTCACCTAGCGAAGTTTATACAGAGAGCGAAAAGGGGCGGCCATGACAGTGTCCGATCTAGGATATCATTATGATACAAGTCTATGGCGTCGCCAAGCTCTGACGAAGACTTGATCCCGTCACCGCCGGCTTTGTATCGCCCCGGAGATCCCACACCGACACCTGTGTGCGGGGACTCGCGTGGTCTCAACGGCACGCACTCAAGGATTTAACCCCTTCGCTGCCAGGATTGTGATTCTTTGATGTCATGCATCACATCCAACACCAAAGAATCAAATTGTTCCTGACATCTCCTACGATTACCAACCCACCACCCAGCACAACGTGCCTACATAAAAAAAAAAACCCAATGGCAACAAGGCTAGAGGGTGACCGAGACAGACCTGGATAGATGGAGTCAGGGAAACACTAACAACCCATGGCATCCCCTTGACCCAAGCTGTCCGGCTGGCGACAGAGAGACGCCTCTTTCTGTCCACGACACCCTAAAGGGTATAAGTGGTGGATAAAAGTAAAGTAAAAGCTTCCAGGACCAACGCAGTCTAGAACTATTTGGTAGGGTTACAGAGCAAGTCCGGCAGTGAAAGGGTTACTACTCTAGTCTTTGGGTCAGGTCGATATGGGCACATGGCACAGACACTTAAGAACGGACGCAACCCATAAAAAGCCAGTAACGGGTCCG